TGCATTACACTGCATATGGTACAGAAGGCAACGAACGATTAGAAGGAAATTCCAAAATCCACCCCATGGTTTTGATAAAATCGTTTCAAAATTTACCGTAAAATAAACATTTATTCATTGTATTATTTTGTTATGCGTTGGTTCAAATCTTTCGTACATGATGAGCTGTGAATCACTCTTATCCCCGATTGGGATAGGCTATATTGCATGGTTCGATAATTCGCTTAGAAGCATCCGATCTACACTTACACGGTCAGTGGAGCGATCGGATCAGCAGTGACTTGGATCCCTTCTTTGCACAGAGAGCGTTCGAAGTCGGGAACGCTCATTTTGGGCACTAGCTTCGGGTACTGCTTATTGTGCATTAGAATGTCCACATGAATTTCCACTTGACCTCTGTGCGACGGACAGTTTCCCCAGGATTGTCAAGGTGGATGGATTATGTGGGGATGTGTCGCGGGGATGGATAGACACACACATACACACACAGAAAGTTAGGAGGGGGGGGGTAGGGAAAATGAATAAATAAACAACTAGATTAAGGTCTGTTTAGTATCGAGATAGTCAAACAAATTACTTGTTCAGTTTTCCGATGGCCAATAATGTAGCGGGACTGTGTTAGTAATGTGAGAGCTTTGAATCAATCAGCATATATGGGGATAAACCCATAATGCTGGGGATGCTTGGGAATGCTATCCAAACTTTTCTCGTTTTTCACATCAAAAGTTCCTTCATCGTAAAAAACGGCTTCATTCAATACGGCTCATTTGTGAGCTTGTAATTGTAATTTTACTTATAAATTCTGTAGGTCACTTTCAGTGAAAAATGTATAAATCGGAGAGAGGGAGAAAAAAAGATATGATTCCCAAAACTTGTAACCTGTTCCTTGTTAACTGGAATGTGTGCTAAAGGTTACGGTTACGATATACGTTTATTCGAGAGAGAACACAACAGTATTGAGATCTAGTTAACGGATAGAGACAACAGGAAGTTAAATGTGCGTGTAGCGGATGTGTGGAGTCGTATGTGCAAACGTTTCACATACATTCAAATGACATTCACACAGATTAGTTACCAACTTCTCCAGCTGTATGGAACAGACGCGGTTAATGATGGTCAGTCTACGTCGAAACAGTTTAAAATCTTTCTTTAAAAGATTGGAAAGAACAACAGGTGAACGATAAAATGAAACGGGGAAAACACACTGGCACACGAATTTGAATATCGATTGAAAGCGATGGTTGAATACAAAACTGACGAAGTTTACATATATGGAAAGAAAGTCATCGAAGTTCACTGGCGATGTGTTTTATGCGAGAGGTTCAATGAAGATTAGCATCAATAAAATTCCAGGGTAAATAATACGGCTTACGGGAGAAACTGGTTCTGAGCCAATCGCTTCCGGTTCAGATGGGAAAGAGGCACGTGAAAATGCACAGACATTCGAACACATTTGGAGGGATCACGACAGAGGCAGGATGTGGCCGAAAATTGTTGAACCTTTTAAAGTTGTCAGAAAGTTGTGACAAACCAGAACAATCGGAGATGGCCTGACATAAAACCACATTGTCAGAGTTTTTGAAAAGAGTGGGGATGCTAGAAGACGAGTCACTAATATAGGTATAAAAATAAGTATAGGAAAAAGACTGCTTATTGGAGTACCCCAGAATTGTTCACCCATGGTGTGGAATTCCTCCGATCTAATCTCGTACATTGATTTTTCCAGGAGAAGTGATCAGCAAACCAAGCTAATGACTGCCTGGGACAACAAAAGTTTTCCAGTTTAGGAAGAAGAGTGGCACGAGAAATAGAATCAAAAGCAGATTCGTAATCCAGAAACATAAACGAACAGATTTCACAGAGTGATTCAAAGATTTGGCAAGTTATATGACAGATTTTCAGTTTTTAAAACCAATAAACATGCACTATCGTGCGCCGGGTTTGGTTTGGCTAAACAGGAAAGGTTAAAAGTAGGATCAAAGAGAAAATTTAGAATTTCATTGCAATAATCTTGCAGAGAAATTGACAAGATGCACGAACGCCATTGTTTACGACACTCAGTCGTATCACTCAGTGTCTCTAACAATCGGTTATGATCATACGGAGGTCCCCATCCAGGAAGCCTAACGGGACCTATGTGACCCAGACTTCGTTTGGGTTCTCATACTCTCATGCCAGGTCTTAGCTTGACCACCGTTGACTTTCTCCCACCCACTACCTACCTCGGTAAACAACTCTCGCCGTGGCAGCCTATCTGGTGACATGCGTAGCACATGTCCCAACCAATGTGATCTGTGGAGGTCGACCATTTGCTCCAGTGGGCGACCGTATTTACCTAAACTTCTGCGCCTAACGTCAGCATTGCTCGTCCGGCTGCCCCATCAGATTCGTGTAATGCTGCGTAGGCAGAGATTTTCAAACACCGACAGTCTATTTTTATCCCGTTCCCGTAACGACCAAGTCTCTGCACTGTAAAGCAGCACTGGCCGAACTGCTGCAGCATACATTCGATACCTCACAGACAGCCGGATGTCACGGCGGCGCCACAGATGTTTCAAGTTGGCAAATGAAAACCCAACCATTTGCATGCGCGCCGACACATTATCTGTGATACGTCCACCAGGTGAAATATAGCTGCCCAGATAGCAAAACTTGTCTACTACCCCTACTACTTCCTCAGTCCTCGGCAGGTGAGGTTAGGGCTAAACAAACCCAGTCTTGTAGTAACATTTTGCACTTTGAAGGTGCGAAACGCATACCGAAGATGGATACATTGGCATTTAAGATGTCTAAAAAAGCTTGCAAGTTGCCTGGATCTTCACTTAGTAACACAATGTTTTCTGCATACTCTGGATCAGACAGCCCATCACCTGGGAATAAATCGATGCCACTATCCTCGCACGAGGATAGGGCTGTTTCCATAATCAGATCTATAACAAAGTTAAATAGAAAAGGGGAAAGAGGGCAACCCTGACGAACACCACTTTCTGTGGTGAACTCGAGCGACAAAGTACCGTAAGCCCGGACTCGACCTCGACTCTAAGTATAAAGGGATTGTAATATTGAAACTAACTTCTCCAGCTCACCTTCCAGCGAAAGACAGCACTAGAGTTTAGAGCGGTCGACTGAGTCGAAAGCCGCTTTCGCATAGACGGAGAGAGATGGTGGGTCTAAGAAAAGAATATCGGTGCTAAAGAGTTTGGCGAAGAGTGAAGACGTGGTCGATACAAACTCAACCAGGTCTAAAGCCACCCTGGTTCTCACGCGTGCACGGTTCGCGTGCGGAAGACAATCGACGGAGTATGATCCCAGCGAGTAATTTAGAGACATTGTTGATTGAACTAATTACTTTGTGGTTTTCACAAGAGGATCTATCACCTTTCTTGTAAATCGACATGATCACCGATTCACACCATTCAGTTGGAACCTCTTCCCCATCCCACAGTGAGCCCAGGAGCTTTGTTAACTCCGAGACTGAGGCTGAGCCTCTATCCTTAAATACCGATGGGAACAGACCGTCTGGGCCGGAGGCCTTATACCCTTTGAGGTAACTTATTGCCCGGGAAACGTCCATTTCAGATGGAGGACTAGCATCAAATGGCAGTATTTGCCCAGTCGAGGGGGACGGTGATAGGTCAGATGTCGACGGGATCAGTTGAACTGAGTCTTGAAATGTTCTGCCCGACGGTCAAGAAAGCGTTGCTGATGGTGAATCAGTGTGCCATCGGATTCCGTAATTACCTCTCCTGCGCCTGTTTTCCTGGGGCCCGTGTTCCTAATTATATGGAAAAGATTGCGACTATTACCAATAGCCGCAGCCTTCTCCATCTCTCTTCACTTTCCTATCCACCATTTCTCGTGGTCATTCCTCAGACGCTTGATGAGGGATTCGCGCGCTGTGTCATATGTGGCATCCGGAGGAAGGGTTCTGCGGGCGTCCAGCAGGTCAACCGAAGTCAACTATATCCATCGTTTGTGTTTTGAGCTTGCACGAGGTTGTGACGTTGTTTTTATCCATATTTGCATATCTTCCTTGATTTGCTTCCAATGTCGATTGAATCCTTTGGCTGGTGATTGAACTGAGAGGTGAACTGATAGTTCTGCTTCGAAGGCCGATTTGCAGCAGTCGCTGACGTTGTATTGTGGATATTCATTGTCAGTGGCTTTCTTGCGGTTGTTTGCCAGGCGTAAGGAGAATTTGGCTCCTAGCAAAGCGTGATCCGTATCCAGAGGTGTTGACCAGTGATAACGGCAGTTTTGAATCGATCCCCTCCATCGGTAAGTGAACTCCAAAGCTCTCGGAAATAACGATGTGACGGCCAAAGGGAAAACCTTACCGACTTACCCGATAAAGTAAACATTGTTAATTTGCACCTCAATCAAGTTTACACGCAGAGAATTGCACTGCATATAATTGTTGAGAGAATACTGACTATTAAGTTTATTGATGATAACAGGCATATTTCACACGACAATTCAAATTACATGATCTTCACTCCACCAACAATCTTTTCAGATTTTAGCTAACCGTTCGGCCAATCCATAATAAACAAAGTGAAATTACTGTTTTTGCTATCTATCACACAGGATTTCAAGCAGGAAAACGATATCTTATGTTTCCAACCATTTATGGCTTTTGTGTGAAATATATGCATCACTTGAGGAGGAAGGCGCTGTAAGGTTAGTATCAAGCAATCACAAGAAAGGAAGAAAGGAGACAAAGTATAAAACGTTCCAGATGAGAAGCTAAAACTCAAGCTGTAAAATTACCACAGAAAACAGTGAAATGTATGCTCGAACTCGGAGACACAGGAAAGAAACCAGATGTGCTATACGAGTCCAGGGCCAGCCAGAGCACTTATTTATCACAAAAATGAGATAAAGGGAAACTAAATGGATAACAACACTGGTGGCCAAGTGGTCCTTCAGCTTGCTCCGGTGGAGGTAGTCACGAATAACTGGACATTTTTCAATGTAAGGAGCAAATCGAGTTACTTAGGTAATAGGGTAATCCCTTACCTGAACTATATGCCGAGAACAATAGTTTAGAAAACAATTAAACAATGAATTTCCTTGTGATAACATAAATTATTAATCAAAGTTCAGTAGGTGGAATACTCCAAAGGCGACAGATACCAATAGTATCACAGGTAGATGAATCCTGAGATTCCGTTTTGGTCTTATTCAAGAGTGGACGTATTTGGTCATCCCGGGCGATAGTTGCTCTACGGAAAGCACTATACAGGAAAGTTAGACATCTTTAGTCAATTTTATGCACTCCATTTTGGAGACCATCAGTGGTCACAATAAGATTGGATTCTGTCCATGACTTAGTGATGTCGCGCACACTGCAAGCGCTTCTCAG